ATGACTTATAATTGCCCGACAAACAGACAGAAGTTCGGAATGAGCCTAGTGCTGCAGGTTGCCTAGCAACAGGCTCTGGACTTTTGGTTTCTATTGTACCACAGACTTGGAAACTGTGGACAGTTGGAATAAGCTGCTGAGAGGGAAACATCACCTCCTTCTCTCTCAGTCACAATATAACCCTTAAAGAAAACCTGTTGAAGAAATATTTTAGTAAAATACATTCTAGGTACTAAAGAATCTCACTGGAATCAGAATCCCTGATCTCCTTAGTCTGAATTTTGAACTTCTAATTCAATCTGGGTCCATGTGATCTTTTATGTGAACTGAGTGTCTCTCATCACTTTGCAACTGGCAGTAACTGGATCTCGTTGACAGAAAGTCAAAGGAACTGTGAGAAAATCACTTCATTTTTCCCTTTTGCTTTGGTCTCTTGATCAATGGGTATTTTCCTATTTGTTCACTCATAATTGCTCTACAGAGCTGTGTTGTCTTGTCTTGTTTGAGTGTGTGCGCCTTAGTATTAGTAGTGATCTAGTTTAGTCCTGCAAAGTAGCTGGGTTGATAACCAATTTGACTACATGTTTAAAGCTTTTTGGTTTCTGGTAAACAAATTCTTGGTGTGTCTAGTGAAGAAACTTGGTTCAAGTCTCTTTTCCTCTGCACAACAGTGACAGAGAAACAAGTTGACTATTTTTGGTGATAAAGTAAGACAATTACACTTTGGTGCAGCTCATGGCATAGTAGGACTTGATTTCTAGCACATTCCTCTTGTCAGAATCATAACAATATGCACAAAAGATGTAATAGCTTTGTACAACACGCTATATGAGCAGATCAGTTCCTCATTAAACATTCTTCCCAATGGACGTTTAAGCTTTTCCAGTAATTAACTCAATTCTAAAAGAAAGAGTAATTCAGTCGAAGGCAATTTATTACTGACATACAAACAAATTACATCCACAATAAAATAGCCCATTGATACAATTCCACCAGATTTGGGCTCAATATAGTTTGTGTTTATGAGAGACTGAGATTAAATGTTCGGGGCATCATTCCACAAGTACTGAAAGCAGCCCTCAATGTCAGTACATTACTTTGTAAATTATTTATGCAATTTATAATGTTTATTATAATTGAGTTGGCAAAGAACGACACAATTTAGAATTGTTTATGGCAAAGAGTGCAAGGCTAACGAGGTGTTTGATAGGGCAAATGACATCATAGGGCTGATTTTCCAAGGTTATGGTAACGCCAGTTGGGGCTCACTTGCTGTTCATACATATCTGTATTTCATCATTGAAAAATCACAGTCAGTGCAACAGCAATTTCCTGTCTTATGCCAACTTCCACACGGTTAGGTCAGAAAAATAACATCCAATTACCACAAGCTTGAAGTTCAGGCAGGTTTATTTCATCCGATTATTTGCTAACATTTCTCTCCTGTTGGGATACGTCAATCTCTGAATGCTGAAATCGCCCAGCTCTTAGACAAAAAGCTGGCCAGCCCTGCACAACTGCGTGATCTTACTCAGAGAAAGCGGTGTGGGAAATAGGAGAGAAACGGCATCGGAATGGGTCGCCAGGTTCTTTGGAAGTCTGAGATTAGAAAATAATGCTGGGACGGAATAAAGGCGAGAATAGAATTAGAATGTATAATATCGGAGATATTTTGTTGGCCTGGCAGTCATCATCTGAAAGCATTGATATTGTTCCTCTCCATAGATACTGCCAGACCTGCTGAGTATTATTCGCATTTTCCGTTTTCATTTCAGATTCCCGGCAACAGCAGGATTTTGCTTCTGCGCTCTGTTTTTCATCCCACCATGCCTGACCCGGGAATATACTGGTCTGACACTGGTTGTTCAAAATTGGTGCTCTGTTCCCCACACATTCCATGCTGGAATGGACTGAAAATTGTACTTCTGAAATAAATACATTAAATCGGAAACTATTCTGCAATGACAAAGGTGAATTACGAGATCTTAGAAGTTTTGCATATTGTACCGACCTCCTTTAAAAGCTGCACTTCCTTTTCCCACCACACTTTTGCAGCACTATCATATTCCGGGTCAGATTCCCTCCTTCACATCTCCCCTCAAAGGGCTGATATGTGACCCAATTCCTAGCTATGACATAGAAGAAAAAAATGAGAGTAACTGACGATGTGAATCAGGACAGAGTCAGAGAAAGCTGAGGAGGAAAGAGGTGAAACAGGTCAGCAACAGAGAGAGAAATGAACATAATCTAAGTGGAGATGAAAATGAGAGAATTGGACTGAAATTTGAAAAGGGACATGGAACAGAGAGAGGAAGAAAACGCGTGGTCTTCTGACATACATGGCAAATAGACAAGACATGCTATGCCATACCACGGGCCAGAGTGTCCACTCAGTGCCAATACTGGGTGCATTTGTACTGCCTATGAAACTTGCTTGGATTTCCAACTGACAGTTGAAGAAGTGATGGGACAGTACAGACATCTCATTGGTAGATCAAAACATGTCGAGGATGGGTGAAGAAGGGACACGTCCCTTTTTAAATTACGTGACTGGCCCTAATCAGGCAATCTGAATTCGATGGTTAGTGGCTCAGTCAATGGGTGGCGAGAGTGTGTGTTGGATTGGATCTGGGAAGTCAGGGTGGGAGAAGGATTCAGATTAGTTCGGGGTGCAGGCAGTGGGGGGCATGGTTAGATTGGGAAGAGGTAGATGCAGACAATGCCAATCACTGGGGGCTGTGCGTCTAGTGCAACCCAGGTTCATTGACCAAATAGTCTGTTAATCAGAATGCTCTATATTCAAAGCAACCAATCAGGCATACAGACCATCCATTTGACTGGATATTCAATCTGTGATGACTGTTGTCCTGAACTAATGCCTTTATTGGCTGAGTAGGGCATGCAGATTCCCAGTGTATCCTTCCTCTTACCTTGTGTCAGAACTGGTGTGAGAACTGTTCTGTTGAACCTGGCGAGAGGCTGTTGGAGTACTGTAAATCAAACAAGTTCCTAGTTTAAACAGTGCCCACTAATGGTGTACATGCTCTTCTACTGGGATAGGCTGTTCCGTGCCAGCATCCCAACCTCCCAAACTCCTCCCTGATCTGTCTCATGGCTCATCTATTCTACCTCTGGACTTGCTTCCTAAACCAAGCTCTTCTCTTCCATTCAATGGTGTTCCATGATGACCGATGGCTCTTTCCATCCCTTGCGTGGACTTGCCTTTCCACCTGATTTCTTCCCTTTGATGGTGCGGTGAGGGAGAGTGTGTAATTGTGAGAGTTCTAGTGTGTGAGAGAAGGTTGGAGTATGGGAGAGAGTGAGAGAGAGAACACAAGTGAGGAGAGCAAGGAAGGGAGGGAGAAAGGAAGGACGGAGGGAGAATGAGAGCAAAGGAGAAAGAGAGTGGAGCAATATTAGAAAGACTGTGAGAGTTACAGAGTGAGAGAGCCTGAGGCAGCAAGCATGAGAAAATAAGGTTGAAGAATTTTGAATATGAGAAATAGAGAGACAAGGTCAGGTGCAAGATGGGGAGTTCATTGCAGGGTTGGGAGTGATAGTGTAGTCCTCTGTTCTGGAACACTGGCTCATCACAAAGTTGGAGTAAGTGTTAACTAGTAGGACATTCCCAGGGTAATTATGTAGGCAAGTTTGTATATCTGGCTGAGGTTTACGCCACTGAGCTCAGTGTCAGGCATGTTTCCAAATGGTCCCAGGAAGCAAACATCAGCCTATCAGAAGTTTAAACCTCTCAATTTCACCACGTGTCCATGCCTCAACTTTCATAGGGCGTTGGAGTGTTTCCTAATTCAAGTCCATATCTCAAAAACATGAACACCAGAAAATCTGGGCCCATAAGTCACTCTTCTGTGTTATGGTGCTTCAGCTCCCATTGCTGACAGTTATTTAGGTAATGCATTGTGGTTTGGTGCGGAACGATGAGAAGATTATGTTGCCTCACTTTTTTCTATTTAAATGCACTTACAATTGTGTATGCACCTAATACAAATTCTCTGTTCTAGATGGAGTGTGGTAACAGAACAGATTATGGTGACACAATTAACGTGGGTGGAAATAATGTTGCTGTAGAGCTGTTAAATTATACTTCATCAGGCTGCAGATTGATGTGTACAGCTAGTCACTTTCAGACACTCATCAAGGATTGTCCCAGTTTTGAAAATGTTGAAACTTTTTCCAATGATGAGCAGCTTTTGTCTGGAATTTATGAAATTTGGCCTAAGGCCAGCTAAATAACAGAAGCACAGAAGCAGGAATAGGCCATTTGACCAGTAGGTCTGCTCCAGTTCTAGATCATGTACTGCTAGTTATAACTATAGGTCAAAACAAGACTATAGAAATACTTTGCGCCTTTGATAAATTGTAATGCTTCCTCAATCTAGGTAAAAGGTCAGCATACTCATGAGTCTTTATGTGGAGTGCCCAGTAATTGTCACAGATCTTCAGTTTTTTCATCGTTCTTCTGTAGGAGGACGATTGGAGAAGTGTAGGTACTTGACAACTCTTCAACGACACCTCGGTCCAAAGACTTCCAGAGGTAGTCCCAGACTTCCTCCCAGTGGTGAGGTGGGATCTGGTGGTAAGGTATCTTTCCTGTTCCTGCCATCTTTAGTCATAGTCCTGTGGTTTACCAGGTCACAATACCCAATATCGTCATCATTTTTCCTCAAAGTTGTCCCCTATTTGGGGAAAGTAAAAACAAGTTACTTCCTCTTGATATGCTCTAACTCATTAATATTCATTCTTGAAATAAGCTTACAGATGTCTCCTCTAGTCAGTCCACAAACCGTGACAGGGGCAAGATTAAGGACATCAGTGAGCATTCTTTGTCTCTGAAATTAGCAATTTGAGTGGGTACCCTAGCCTTCTCTTCCAAGGTGACAAGTGTTTTATGAAGTGGGAGATCAGCAATATGCGAGACCTGAGGCTGTAGCTAGGCCTGGTAGTGAAGGCTTATGCCAGCTGTTGTCAACTCATCAAGAATATTGATTAGTGGAGCAGGAAAAGAGAAGCCCAATTCCCTACTCCTCAAAAGGTCCAAGGGCCCGTTATAGACAGATACACCTTCGGTGTGTAGAACAAAATCAAAGTCTCCTAAGCTGCATATGCTAATCTCGTAATGTGATTTTCATACCAGTCACCAAACTTGCTTTCCAATGATGCCTGGATATCTTAACACATTCAACACCACAGGTATTCTCAACTTCATGACTCTCACTGGAGTATCAATTGGGTCACGAAGTACCAGCAGCTCCAGACTATGAAAAGTATAATAAGGAGTACTTAATGTGGCCACGATAAGGGATATCTGAATAAAAGCAAAATGCTGCAGAGACAGGAAACCAAACACAGAGAAGGCTAGAGAAACTCAGCAGGTGTGGAGTTAACATTTCAAGTCCACTTGATACTTCTTCAGAACGCCTGAAGGGAATAGCTGACCTCTGCAAAGCACAGACCCAGAGGAAGGAAGAGATGTCAACTAGCTCACACCTCTCAGCAAGATTTGGAAAGAGAAATTGTAAATAATGGTTAACACCTTTACTCTGTGTCAATTACAATGTTTCTATCTTGCCAAACTTCACATTCATGATAAGGCAGGCCCTATTGCTCTATACAAGACCAAGTGCCCAACTGAAGGGACCTTGCCCTCCTGCCTGGCTCTTGGTAGGAGGCCTAACTAATTTATCATCTGGTGAAAGTGGAAGACTATTGCACTAGATGGGATCTCAGTGCCTGATGGCAGTAGTGGCTGTGGTTGTTGAAGGCAGTCCTGTTTGAATTGCCTAGCCCTGTCATAATTCCAACACCTCTTGGGTGCGATCAGCTGTGAGGCTTGCTGTGGCGATAATACAGCAAGTGCTTACCTGTGCAGTAATCTGTTCTGCCTACCCCTTCAGCATTCCCATTTGCACTGACAGACATTTCCCTGATTGTGTCTGTTTCCTGGTCTTAGGAATCTAATCTTTCTCCATGATATGTGTGATGTGATTCCACGCTTCAAAGAAGGACAATTGAACTTTGTCATTATTAGGTTTCCTCACTTCCATCTTGAAGTTCCAATACTTCACCATTTCAGCCAGATAGTCCTTTTTGTCACTGGTCAGTTTGAAGGAGGGATGCAGGAAGATCAATAGGAGGAGAAAATGTCACCATCTCCTGGGATATGGAGAACAGGTCCTCAGTTAGGAATACATATTAATATTTGAGAGCTGTGTAAAAAACTGGAATGTATGGAACTGTTAGGAATTTTTTTGGATTGAAAACGGTTTACCTCATGTTTTCGCGGAAGTGAAGTTAACAGTGTAATGTTCCCTGGAGGTTTACCTGCTGTTAGCAAAAAGTCAAATGACTTTTGAGAAAGCTTTCCAAGGAGATAAGAGCCAGGGTTTATGGTCCTGAATTATCAGAAAAACCTGTCTTTGAAAAGATTATGTGGCTTCTCTGCTAGTAGTTGCCTGGCAGCCATTCTCAACTTGGCTTTCTGTTTTATAGACCCAAGTAGTCACAAGGAAGAAAATATCTCTCTCTCTCTGTGTCTCCTTCTCAACTGAAGTTCTTTGGAACCAGATAGTTTCCAAACATATGCATTTTTGACTATGTTTGACTACCCCTAAAGTGCTGAAATGTGGCCACCTTTCATTACTAGGATGCACCCTGATTTCAATCTGAACTGAAGCTCTTCCATCAGTCTATGGTTGTCAAGAGTTCAAGTTCATTGACAGGGAACCTGCTGGATTATGAGAAACCATCACATTTTATTCCTTATTTTCAGACCTTTGGCTAACAGAAATTTTTAAAAAAAAATCTTTTCCCCTTTTTATGTAAACATCATCTTTACAGAGACTTTCATCTTTTTAGTGTTGTATGAGTGCAACTGTGCTTGGAGTTAGGGGGGGTATATTCATAATTCTAGGTTATACCTGAGATTTTAATCAATGTCTGACACTTGTTTTAAGATTTTTTTTTAAGAATAAGATTGGTGTTTTAATAAGTTGATTATCCGGAGTTCATTCAGACATCCACATCTCTTTTATTCTGAATGGGAGTATGAAAGGAAAACAATTGACCATTTTGTTGATTGAATATCTGTACTATTGGTGTGGCAGGTGGAGTACTGAGGCTTGTTCACAAGTGCATTCCTGCCAACTCAGTTGTAACAGCTTGCCTTCAGCTTGCTTGTTCTTGTAAAACATCTACTATAACCGTGATATACTACTGCTGTCCCAAAATCCCTTGTCAGTACCTCAAAGAACTGCTGCAGACTTCTTTGAATATCCATACCTCTCCCTGATATTTCCTGTTGGACTTCCCACACAGCTTCCCACTCAACGGAAAGTAGACCGTGAGTCCAGGAGCATGGTTTCCTTTCTCTGTAGCATCAAAGGAAAGCAGGTAGGGAGACTATTCTGGAATTTGCCTAAAAGGTCCAATTTCTTACACTGATGTTTGAGCCTCTAATGATGTAGGGACTGCTTTGTCGTCCCTTATAATCATTGCCAATTTCAATTTCTACACCATTTGCTCCATTTTGGTCAAGTTTCTTCATTGCCTTGCGATGCCTATGTTGTGGAATCCTGGCAATGGCATCAGGAATGTAACATGAGATTTATGTATACAGACAGCGCAAGAATTATGAAATAAAGATTCTTTATTCCACTGGTATCAAATCGTTAAAAACCTGAAGGGAAATCATGATTAAACTAAGAAACCCAAGTATTTTTGTGGAATTAAGCCTGTGGTTCACATCTGGTTGAGGAAATCTTTTGACTGTTTCTTTCTTTCTCCGTGAGGCCTCTTTCTCACAAAAAATCTTTCCTCTAGAGAAGGTTGACTCAACTGCTCAAAACCGCTGTACTCTTTAATTGTATTTAATTCAATAACTTTAACTTAATTGCTGGAGGCTCAAATGCAGATAGCAAGTCAATTTCTTGAATTCACTTCAACGTTATTAATTATTTTACATTGCTTTAAAACGTAACATGGTACTATAGAATCATGGTTAAACGATTGGACTGGTAATACAGAGCCCTGGAATAATAATCAGTAGATAAGTCCAGATCCCACTGATGGAGTTGGGGAACTTAAATTCATGAAGTAACATTTGAAGTAGAACCAAGCGTAGACTATTTTGCCCCTTAAGTCTCTTCTGGCTTTGGCTAATTAAATTTAATAAAAAGCAACCATCAATAATCGTGATGATGAAATGACTGAAATATCATAAAAACTCATCCAGATCATTAATTTCCTTCAGCAAAGGAAATCTGTTGTCCTTACTTGGTCTGGATTACGTGCAAGTTCAAATCAAAGCAATATGAATGGCCTAGATAACTACCCAAGTTGTCTCTTTTTAAAAGAAGGGCTGATAGATATGGCAGTTGCTTTTAATCAACCGGATCAGGCATGTTTTGACACATGTATAGGTCAAGTGAGACTTGAACCAGGCCTCCTGGCCCAGAGGTAAGGACACTACCACAGCACCATTAGTGCCTTAAAATTGAATTGTCTTTTGCTGATGTTAACGAGGGAAAAGCACAACCTGACCAGCAACTTGTAGAGAATTAGAATTCAAGTGTATTACTTTTTCACCACAAATCAGAGATCTATAGCATACAAACAGCCCTTTGGCCCATCGATTCTGTGCTGGTCAAAAACAAGCACCTAACTATTCTCATCCCATTTTCCAAAACTTGGCCCAGACCCTTGACATCACAGCACATCTAAATACTTCTGAAATGTTACGAGGATTTCTGACTCTACCATCCTCACAGATAGCAAGTTCCTGACTCCCACCACCCTCTGCGAATAAAGGGTTTCTCCTCACATCTCCTCAAAACATTCTGTCCCTTACCTGAAATTTACGCTCCCTGGACATTGACCACTCCATCAAGTGGAAAAGTCTCTTATTCTGTACCCTATCTATACCGCTCATAATTTTACACATCTCAGTCACGTCCCTGCTCAATCTGCTCGGCTCCAAGACAAACCCCAGTCTATCCAATCTCTCTTCATAACTAAAGCTCTCCAGACTTGGCAACGTCCTGGAAAATCTCTTCTGCACCGTCTACTGTGCTATCATGTCCCTCCTATAACGTGGATTCCAAAACCACACACATACTCCAGGTGTGGCCTGTACCATTTTTATACAGAGATAACAAGGTGTAGAGCTGGATGAACACAGCAGGCCAAGCAGCATCAGAGGAGCAGGAAGGCTGACGTGTTGGGCCTGGACCCTTCTTCAGAAATGGGGGAGGGAAAGGGGGTTCTGAAATAAATAGCGAGAGAGGGGGAGGCGGATAGAAGATGGATAGAGGAGAAGATAGGTGGACAGGAGACAGACAGGTCAAAGGGGCAGGGATGGAGCCAGTAAAGGTGAGTGTAGATGGGGAGGTAGGGAGGAGATAGGTCAGTCCAGGGAGGACGGACAGGTCAAGGGAGCGGGATGAGGTTAGTGGGTAGGAGATGGGGGTGGGTCTTGAGGTGGGAGGAAGGACATGTTAGGGAGGTGGGGACGAGCTGGGCTGGTTTTGGGATGCGGTAGGGGGAGGGGAGATTTTGATGCTTTTGAAGTCCACATTGATACCATTGGGCTGCAGGGTTCCCAAGCGGAATATGTGTTGTTGTTCCCGCAACCTTCTGGTAGCATTGTTGTGGCACTGCAGGAGGCCCAGGATGGACATGT